TCTGACTTTATCGCCTATTTCTTTGTGGCAAACTAAATTAATTAGGGCTAATTATGATCATTTGTGATATTTAGATTAAATATAGCGATAAGATGTAGAATCTGTTGACATAAATGAAACATTTTTTCTTAAGGTTTACATATTTGATGATGCATGTGGAAATAATTGATTAAGACACATCAACCTGTCTTACATAAAACTCAACGATAAAATCAAAGGATTCCAAATATTTGGACCTACTTACATTTTGGTTAACCTCGGTTTTTATCAAGGGAACATAATCCACTAATGTCCCTCATTGCGGCAGTCATGCATGTAAGTCTTAACATTGGTCCTTATTGTGGCAGCCATGCATGTCTTAACAATGGTCCTAATTTTGGCAGTCATGCATGTCTTAACAATGGTCCTAATTGTGGCAGCCATGCATGTCTTAACAATGGTCCTTATTGTGGCAGCCATGCATGTCTTAACAATGGTCCTAATTTTGGCAGTCATGCATGTCTTAACAATGGTCCTAATTGTGGCAGCCATGCATGTCTTAACAATGGTCCTAATTGTGGCAGTCATGCATGTCTTAACAAGTAGTACAATATTTAACTCCTCTCCATCACCAATGAATGAATAGTTCTTCATTCAGAGCAAGCCAAATCATCTACATGTACATGTACATAATTTAAGCATAAGTATAGTGGTTGAAAGATTTAAACTTTTTCTTCTTTGAACATTTCCAGAAACCCAGTCTTTGTCAGACATTACATGAATTTGCTATATATTACGTAAACTAGATTATGTTTGTCAACTATGCCTTTGTCATGATATCCTTGTATATATATCCTTGTAGAAAAACAGGAAAAGTTACCCATAGCAGTTTTATCAGGAAATCTGCAAAAATGTGTAAAGCTTTTACATTGAACCATTTTTAGAGAAGATAATTTTCCCAGACGGTAATTCATCAATCTATTGTCTCATGAATATCTTCGGTATTACTGACATCCCCACTGATTACTGTGAGCACAACATTTTAAATTGTTCAGCCAAAGTGCATGTTGTCACCATTTCTCCTCCTTGGGGAGAGATATTTAACTAGATCTCCTCAGACTAATATATCATCCCTCGTAAATGTAGTGTTTCAAACAGAAATAGACAAAAACTTTTCATTTCAAAGAATAATACAGTACAAGCAAGGTTTATTTTTAAACTTATGAATTTTGTGCAAAAAAAATAGGAATAATTTGCATAGCACAGTATACATATTTGCCACTAATCAAGTTTGTGTATATTGCTTGTTCGAAATGGTCGTGTCACATAAACCATTGGCCAAGTGCAATAAGCAAAATTTAGTTTTCCACAGAATGCTTGTTAAACAAACTAAGGTGGCTTTATGCAAACATATTTTTATTTGCCTTATAAAAAGCTTATTACATGAATGGTGCTTTCTTGATTTATAAAAATTTATGTCATCTTAGGCTGAAAGGCATCCTCCAAGTGAGTCTATACCAGATTTTAAAATCAGAAAAGTTTTAATTGTTTAAAATGGCTTCAATTGTACATTAGTAATTAAAGGGAAAAGGTTGGCCTTTTAGTTAAGGTGTATGCCTATAAGATTATTGGTTCCAGTCCGATTAATTGAATATTGGGTCAGGCCCATTTCATACATCATTGTTTTCAGCCTAATTTATCCCTCATAGGCTCCAGTTTAATTCAATGATCATTAGTTCCAGCCCAGTTAATTGAATATTGGCTCAGGCCCAGTTCATTGAATATTGGCTCCGGCCCAATCCATTGAATATTTGCTCCGGACCAATTCATTGAATATTAGCTCTGGCCCAGTTCATTAGATATTGACTCTGGCCCAATTCATTGAATATTTGCTCCAGCCCAATTCATGGAATATTTGCTCTGGCTCTATTAATTAGATATTGGCTCCGGCTCGATTCATTAGATATTGGTTTCAGCCCTACTAAGGTCCCAACTATGTTCATATGGTACCGGAACTGGTTAGCTCCATGATGTGTACTCAAGAAGTGGGTCAGATAAGTTGAAAGCTTTTATCAGAACCCAGTTAAAATAAATCTGTTTAAACTAAACTGTATAATGGTGTGTATTTTTTTAGATGCTGAGAAATTATTGATTTGATGACATGCATTGGCCATTTTATTGAGAGATTAATGTTAATAAAACTAGCTGTTTTATTACATTATCACTGGAATGAACATCGTGCATTAATGATTAAAGTCATGCAATTGTTACTGTTATCCATTGGCTTCATGGAGTGAAATATTTCATGACAAATGCGGCTTTTACATGACAATATTTTTCTTGCTAAGTTCAAGTTCTTGGGGTTTTATTTTACTTGTTAAAAATTGACCATTTGAACAGTTCACCAAAAGTATTGTACAGGACGAAATATACATGCATAGAATGATATGATATAAAAGTAGTCTGAATTAGTTTGTTTTCTTATTTCATCACTTACTAGAGTGTATATATAAGGTAAAATATTGATAAGGATTAAGAGCTTATAACTTTTTTTTAACAATTTGTATGTCCATGACCAATCCAATATGTACCTCTTAACAATTTGTACATCCATGACCAAAATGTACATCCATGACCAATCTGTACATCCATACATGCCATAATTTTTGGACAGCTTTCCGGGACACTTTTCATCGCGGCAATAATGGATGTGTAGGCAGTTGTGGAAAAGGGGGGGGGGGGGTTGGTGTCAATCATATAATGTTATTAAATTAGGACGACTTTCTCCTGAATTTTAATGATAAACAGTTAACTTACTAGTTTTATAAGTAGTCTTTTAGGTTGACATATTTATCATTTTATAGTATTTCTTTATTTCATTTATTATTCCCTAAAAGCAAGTAAGTTGTAAGTTATAAACCCGGTGAATGGGCGCAGCTATGTTGTTCACCCGTTATATCTTAAAGTCGTGATAATTACTACATGTCACGTAATGCAATTCTTCCAGTCATAAAAACAAACACAGCAAGGTGATTTATTTGACACCTTTAATTTTTTATTTGATAGATATATTTACATTGTTTGTAATAATAAGACTTTCGGCAAGTTAGCGATTGATCTAAAAATTAATGATTATCGGGGATTAACGATAATTGTTAAGGGCCGTAAACCATTAATTAACCCGACCATTAAACGCTGCCGAATTCGAAAGAGAATGTTAATTGCCGATGCATGAAGAAAGCTATTGCCGAGGGGAATCGACAGTCGATAATTGGGGGGCTGTATATTGTAAACTTGTAAGTGTCAGCGTTCCTGTGTATTATGTGTACAAGGTCAGAATATGTTTTATGATCGAGAGGTGAAATGTGCGAGATTTGATTTAAAAAAATTTATGAAAATTTTGCAAAATATCATGATTTTTTTTTCCGGGATCAAATCGATGCCCGGGACATCTCCGGGACAGACATCCGATTTCCGGGACAATCCCGGGCATCCGGGACGTTATGGCATGTATGGTACATCCATGACCAATCTATAAACAATCTGTACATCCATGAACAATCTGTACTTCCATGACCCATCCATGACAAGTGTGTACATCCATTATAAATTTATGCATCCATGCACTCTGACCATATCGATGCCTGCCTAAAACTACCATGCTTATACTGAAATCCCTAAAAATAATAATTGACTATTCCAAATTGAAAACAGAACAAGTTTATTTGTGTATATTTAGCATGGAAGGGAAATAAGAGACACTTTAGTATGTGTCAGAACAAGTTTATATGAAATTAAACCTAAATTAACGAGCCTTTAATTAGTTTAACATTGGTAATTATTATATTCAAACAAAGAAGTAAAATTGTGTGGAAACTGGAGTAGTATTACAGTAATAGTAATTGAGTTAACATAAAATATGCAAATTTGATTATATGATACTCAGGTGCTAAGATTCACCATGTACATTGATCAACTTACTATAGATTTATTTGATTTTGAACTGTTTGATTAAGTGACTTGTCAAAATTGTCAAAATTTTGTATGACTTGCCAGGCTTTGAATGCAAGCTGTTATAATGATTTGCCTATCTCAATGATCTGCCTATCTCAATGATCTGCCTATCTCAATGATTTGCCTATCTCACTTGTAAAGATAGTGCAACGTCATTTTGCATATCTGTGAAGTCTGACCAAGGGGGGTGGTGGCCTAGTGGTTAAAATGCTTGTGTCTGAACCCAGGGTCATGGGTTTATGCTCTACACTGGTCACAATCAAGTTTCCTTTAAATGACATCAGCACTAAGCTGGTTAAAGGAACTTCACTTGCTCCAAAAACCTAATAACATTAACTTTGAATTTCTTACATAGATCAACTGGGGCAGCACTTAAAACAGAAAGATTTGCAAAAGATATTTAAGAAGTATGCTCAAAATTAATTGAAAAGTGCTAATTTAGCATGATTTGAGTGCAACACTTTTCAATTTTGAATTAGAATATCATTCTGGAAAAAAAAAGAGTAAGCAAATGATCACAAGATATTTGTCTAGACCCATATCAAATAGAATATTAATCTCGAAATATTATTTCCAGGCCTGTTATGTCAAAAAACCTCAGTGGAGTTCCTTTAATAAAAGTTATAAAGAATTGATTCCACAATTGACCTAAAATAAATATGTGTTGATTTAAAGCAGGGCAAGGCTATTGCACCAGTTCAACAGTGTAAGAGTTGCAGTTACCAGTTTGATATGAATTGTTAATATAAAAGGATTCTATTTTGGGTCCTAAAACATATTTTGCACTAAATTCTTTTTTCATTTGATGAAAAGACTCATTACATAAAGTAAATATAATATCCTGAAATATGAAAGAGTGGGTAAACAAAAGTATATAAGGAAATTAATTCAGCCTTAAATAGAGACATGTCTGATCTAAGTATAACATATTCTAAATTTTAATCTCTTTGTGAATAACATTTTTACCTAAATGTTTGTGCTATATGATATTCTTTGTTTATTTCCAGATACCAAGGGAGACAAATCTAGACATACTCTGCAAGCTACAATCACAGTTACAGTTCTTCATCTAAGGGACACAATCACAAACCAACAGAAATAATCAGCCATATGGACTTACTTCCCTTTGATAAAAAGCTTATCATGGGAAAGAGAAATTTAAGTGAATTGATATTTTCAGTATAGTTTTAAGACATTTGATTAATTTGTGATATTTTTTATAATTTATACAAAAAAAACTGTGCCTGACCAATACATTAAAAAACAACGATGTCATCAAGTCCAGTAACAAACCACTGCCCACATCCAAACTCTGCCCCTTTACATAGAATACCAAATGCCCACAAGAGAAGCATTCCAGATAGAATCCAGCGTGATCCGGTTGTCCAGGCAACGATACCAAGGGTAATGAGTACATCGGCACTCAGAATACCGAAACAACGGAATTCCTTTTGGCAGAGGTATTGCATGTGGTGAGAATCGTATTGTTGTATTTGTTGGCTTTAATTTAGAAAGGCTTTCTGTTTTACAATAATTTCTTAATGTAAAAAATGCATGCATTCTATGTACCTTTAAGAGAATAATCTATAGAGTTTCCTTTTCATACAGACTTAATTCTCTCCTTATATGTCATGTAATTCTCTTTAAATATATGTTATTTTCAATCTTTCTATCATTTCATCTTCTTGTATACAAAGGGGAGTCACTCAGAACAGATAAAAAAATTGCAAATTCAGATTTATTTCCCTTATATCACTTCTTGAACACGTTGAGTTTATTCAGTTAAGAGGATATAGAAAATCAAAAAATTAATTGATTTGCAGCAATAGTAGTATTATAATCGTTACCTAGCTAAGTTTCATTGCAATGCCGCTATTTCAAATAACCAAATATAAAATATGAACATTTACTATCAATAGTCATTTGTTTCAGAAACAAAAATTTTATATCTTTTGAAATATCTATTTGGAGGTTGCATGATTTAAGAAATTTGAAAAATTGTTTAAAGATTATTTACATTCTTAAGAGAAATTGATTTAAGTTTGAACATAAACTCGGGAACAAAAGGACGGCATTTGTTTTTGAAATCCCACAATGCATCAGTTGAGATTATGATATTATTGAGTTTATTGATCATTAATATCCTTGGTTTACTGACTTAGTACCGGTTTGACCCAGTTATGTCACATAAAACATAACAAAATTCTGACTGAAAAAACAAGAAATTATGACACCTAATGGAATATGATACAGCGTAATATAATTCCGAAGAAAATGAACGTAATAAAATACACGAAATATGGAAGATGTAATGAATGTGATGTCCCTGCGGTCATTTTATACCATATACAAATAACCCCTCGATACTTTAGCGCTGTCACTGTGTGGGATAATTCTGTCTCTGTTCTAAAAGCAAGGATGAAAGATGAAAGATTTTTGCGGTAATCGATCGTCAGATAGGGATGTATAGCTAAATCAATACCAAATATAAATGATGAGACTTGTTTCTCTTAAGAGAGATTTCTTCTCAGCGTAATTTGTTAAATTGCGTTGAATTAAGAAAGAAAATTCAACAATTTTCAAGAATTTTCCAATTTGTCATGTCTGTGTGGTGTAGTGTCATGTTTTTAGAAAAAAATATTTTGGGTAATTGTTTAACATTAGGGTAATTGGTTTACTTTAGGGTGAATTTCAGTATTCTGTTTGCATGCTCTAGGGTTTTGCAGTCATTAAAAATCTAAATTTAGAAACAAAACTAAGTTAGCAAAAAAAAATCAGAAAATCAACAATAAATGGGTATTGTTTTTATCATAATGGTTTATTTAGATATAGGCACTATTTATGGAACCAAAAATGAGACATTATAGTTTTAAAAATCATGGCCTAAACTTTTAAGAATCATGGCCTGCTTCACAAAGTCTCAAACCCGAAACCCTAGCTGGACTCTAACTTCACAAAAAAGCCATAAAATCCTAGCTGGGTCAGATTTACAAACCCTTGCTGAACAACGGATCAAATTAATATACAGTTAACTCTCGGTAACTTGAATTTCAAGGGACTGGGCAGAAAAGAAATTCAAATTACGTGGATCTGCCGCCATTACATTTACATTGGTACATGTGTATACATGTGCCTGATTAAATGTCTACAGCAGTAGGTTTGTTATTGTTGATACCGGCAATGCTGCGCAGAATATTTAACCATTGAAATGATGATAAATCACTTACAATTACAAATTATAAATGAACAGAAAGATATTATTTAAAATCTAATATATGTATATTAATAGTGAAACATAAACACAAACATTTGTAGCAATGACATGAGAGTGACAACACCTCACCTTGATGTCCTCGACCTTTGATCAGTGGGCTGTTTTCACACTTTGACTAATTGAGATGTTAATATGAGCCGCGTCACGACAAAACCAACATAATGGGTTTGCGACCAGCATGGATCCAGACCAGCCTGCGCATGCACGCAGTCTGATCAGGATCCATGCTGTTCGCTGTCAGTTTCTTTACTTGATATAGGGTCTGTAAGCGAACAGTATGGATCCTGATCAGACTGCACGGATGCGCAGGCTGGTCTGGATCCATGCTGGTTGCAAACGCACTAAGTTGGTTTTGTCATGGCACGGGACCAAACATTCCTTTTGACTAAACAGGAGTCTCAGTAAGTCAAAATTTGACCTAAGCAGAAATAAAGAAGGAAATTTGACGGGACTTTGGAAATTCTTCGACTAACGTGAAATTTTGAGTAAGGAGATTTTGACTTACTGACAGTCAACTGTATATTGGATTTAACCAAAGTCATAGCTTCAAAAATGATCTAAATATGTCATATTTGTTAACTTTTGTTAATGAATCAAACTTGCAACCTCTATGTTTACACAGGATCAAACTTTGAAGCCTCCACTTGGAACATGGATCTAGCTTACATCTCTGATATTGTTTCAATTTAATTCTTCCCTCATTATAACATTAACAATCCATATTGTTCACAACATTAAAAGTACTTAAAATATGGGCCCAGAAACATTTTGTAGAATTGGCAGATTCAGGTTAACATTGATGAATGACGTCAGCAGACGATCAATATGGCTTTCTTTTCATATGTTTCATGTTTCCAAGTAAAGTTTTACTTTGTTCCATACCTCATTATATTACCTCTCATGTCTAGATTTTTGTTATTTGATTATAAAACATCAAGTTGTCTCTGTAGAGAGGAAAATTTTTTCATTTTATAATAGACTTGTCTATCAGACTTTCCTATATTTGATAGCATCTTAGACTGATGCATGCAATTCTTGAAAAAAAAAAATTAAAAAATCAATCTAACATTTTCATTAAAATTGTATAGAACTGATAATTTCATCAAAGGACAAAATAGTGACTCCGTTCAATGGAAAAGTGTCACTGTTGCAAAGTTGTGGTTAAAGTCAAATGAAATCCTGTGGGGGCTGCCTGTCTACAACATGGATATATACTTACAGTCATTATTATACATCTGTCAGTTCTATACTTCTATCAGTGTCTGTGTTGATTCAGTTTTAGACAAATCAGAAAATAGTCGAAAATGCTTTAGACAAATACTTATGCACTTAACCAATATAATGTCAATATCAATCTGCAGTGGCTCAATGTCCTTTTCACTGTTTTTTTTATTTCTCCAGTTTTAGCCCTTGCCCTGATCGATTTGTGAAATAGATGTCCCCAGCTTTGAATAATTTGGAACAGTCCATTCACTGTTTAGGGATTTTAGTATCAAAAATTTAAAACATTGATCTACCAGGTCGGACAGCATGGTAGTTCAAGCTGGTCATTACAAGCTCTATTCTTGTTGCAAAAGCTAAATGGGTTAGACTGTCTCAAGTTGTGTTTATTTTAATGTTAAAATTTTATTTTTATAACAGTCTTAAAACTTTAAAAAAAGAAATTAAGTAAAAATGATTAGTTAACACAATTTTCTTGACACTATTGGCCAGAAATGAATCAGGCCTTTTCATTGGTCAGTTATTATGTATGAAGATCAAAAGTTGACTATGTCAGTTGGTTTGGAATAGGGCACTGTAGAATTTGAATTTCATATTGAATCCATTTTTTATGTTGAAAAAAAGTGTTTTGTATAATGGCTGGATCTGTCTTGTCTTTTAAAATATATTTTGTTTGATCACCTGTTTTCTCTGTCTGCAATACCAATTTTCTCAACATCTTAGTAATAAAATCATTATATAAGGCTTTTTTTTGATGATTTTGAATAATATAAATGAACCCAATATCACTTAATGAACCCAATTGTACTAAAGTCATACAAAGAGTACAACTCATGTTGTTGTGCTATGTACTTTTATAAACAAGGTTAATTAATACTTTGTTTCATTTACTATTTACTATACTGGAAATTGTATCAATGACCTTATTTCTAATGACAGATAATCACTGATTTGACATTTGTTATAAAAGATAAATTATTAATCAATTCACCTCGCCCTAGTGATGACAAAATATTACATTGCTGACGTAAATCCTGGAGTTAAATAAATTCCTATTGATACAGTTAACTGGAAATAGAAGTTTATTTAAATAAATATAAAAAGGTTTTATTGTTCACTAGATGAATTATTTTTAGAAAATAGTTCCCAGAACAAACATTCAATAATGAACTCTTTTGAGTTCAGATGTCGGTTGTACAATGTGAATGATAAATGATGTCATAAGCTTGTGGTGCACTTGTCCTGTTTTGACCTGCTGACTTCATTTTATGGACTAACCCAGCACAGTCCATTATTAATTTAGAGGATATCCAGATAAAACTTGAAGTTGGTCACCCAACAGTATAGAGTCTGTCAGATGGCAAGGACATGTGCACTGGCCTAGCTCTACACTTGGTGGCAAAGGCTAAATCACTTCCTGTTTCTACAGGTAGGGTAAGGGTTACAACTTATAAGGATTGCAAATTAACAACTAGTAACTTGGTGGTTGGGGCAAGCCGTTGTTTCCTTGTGCAAGAAACTTAAACTACATTCATTGATTAGTACTGGTTGGTTCCAGGAATGGATTGGAGAGTGTTTCAATAAGCTTATAATAAGCTTCCAACACAATAAAATAAAATAATTTGGTATAAACTAAAATCACAAGCAACTTACTTGTATAAAGTCAGTAAGGGTCCTGGATCTGTTACTGCTTTTGCTAAAGGTGATTCAATTTGAAATTCTAAACAAAATAGTAATATTTCATTTCACTCAAGGTTGATGTGCACAAATTGGCAGGTGCTTCTTATTTATAAAAAACAAATTAAATCAAGCTTATTTTATCCTAAAAATATCTAATGCGGAACAAAGGGAAACAAGTCTTTTTTAAAAGTTCCATAAATTGCTTGGTTTTAAATTGTTATTTGGAGCTTTTTAAGATAGATCAAAGTGTTATATTTTCTATGCCAATATTTCATTTCTTGATCA